GTGCCTTAATGAACTGATGAAGAGAAGATGGGAAAGGTTTCATTTGACCATCAGTCTTCCCAATGAGACAGCTGSACACTCAGCCTGGAGTTACTTTCCRTTTCAGGAAAGATCAGGGATGAGGAGCTGGAAAACGCTGGAGTGGAGGAGGTGARGGAATCCCRAGAGAAGKCTCTGGGGAGYTGGAAGGRCACAGCCAAAGGGAGCAGGGACACCCAGCAGCAGCATGTGTCCAGCCACAGTCCTCAGAAATTCCTGCAGAGCCTGGGAACGRGGCTCTGGCAGAAAGAAAGGAGGTATCAGCTACAAAACAAACCTCTGCCTCCTCGAAGCATGGCTTTTTGCAGCTCTTCTGCTCTCAAAGCCAGAGTTTTGTGGTGCCAGCTGATGTGGGATTGGGGCTGGAAAGGTCAGTGCTGAGCACAGGCTCTGCATTGTCCAGCAGATCCTGGTTCTGACGTTAGGGAGATTCCTGCTGCCCTTTCCAAGAGGCAGAAGCTCTGGCTGGGGTTGTTGGTGCAGATTTAGGCACTTGGACACCTCTCAACAAGAAAAGCTGTCTGTGTGCCTTGGCTCTGCTTGGCTGTACCCTGAACACCTCAGCAAATCCTGTCTGGGTAGAAATTCCCAGTGAAGTTTCATGGAATCTTGGAATGGTTTGGGTTGGGAGGGACCTTAAAGCTCATTTTACACTCCCTGCAGACAGGGACACCTTCCCCTTCCCCAGGTTCCTCCAAGCCCCATCCATCCTGGCCTTGAACATTTCCAGGGATTTAAAATTTATGGGGTTTAAATCCCACACCCTGAGCAGAGCCACGTGCCCAGGCTGTGCTCCCGATTTCTCCAGCAGMTGATTCCCAGCTGGCCAGCAGCTGCCTGGGATGAACCACCCATGGCAGACGGAAAAGTCGGCGCCGGGCCAGGACACRCCGTGACCCCGTTTCCTGTTTTCTGACGCTGAAAACAACCCCAGTGTCTGAGCAGAGAGGAAGGGTGGCCGCTCTTCTAAAATGCTTCCACTGGGCTGGTGCCCATGGAATGTGTGTTTCTGCATTTATCCTGGAGAAAAAGGGGTTCAGGAGGAATCTTGTGGCTCTGCACAACTCCCTGATAGGAGGGAGCAGCCAGGGGGATCGGGCTCTGCTCCCAGGGAACAGGGACAGGAGAGGGAATAGCCTCAAACTGTGCCAGGATGGGTTCAGGTTGGACATGAGCAGGAAATTTCTCCATGGAAAAAAGTTGTTAAACATTGGAACTGCCCAGGATGCGTTGTAGTCCCAGCCCTGGAAGTATCCAAGGARCAACTGGACRTGGCACTCTGTGCTGTGGGCTGGTGACAAGGTGGGGATTGGACACAGATTCGAGGACTGTCATGGGGAGAAGCTTCCATGGCCATGAAGGTGTTTGTRGCCTTGGGGACAAGTGTGTGCCTTGTGGGAATGGCTCTCCTTGTCTTCTCGCTGCTGCTTTCCTGGCAGAAATCCTGGTTGTGCTTTCCAGCCTGGAATGTCACCTGTGGGCASGTGGGGAGGGTGGCACAGGGGTACGGAACAGTCTCGCACCTGGTTTAGGGATAAATCCCAAGCCTCTCGGAAGTGCAAAATATTTTCTTTCCTGTTTTGGGAATATATGGTGTGACAGCCCACAGCTGAATGCATCGCAGCCTATGGAAGAGCTCCTCTCCCCCTCTTTCCTAAAACAAGGGAAAAGAAAAGTGGATTTTGTTTGTTGTCTTAGGTCAGTGTCTGGAATTCCTCCTCCTCCCTCCCTCCTCCCAGGATGTTTTTGTGTAACACACTCTGACTCATGGAAGTCAAATGACTTGGCCTCAGCGGCCTCAGCACAGAAATTCTGGCACAGGAAAGCACAGGAATTCTGGCACAGGAAAGCACAGGAATTCTGGCACAGGAATCCTGTGCTGGGTGAGGGTTTTCCAGCTCCTCCAGGCACTGCCAGAGCCGTGGGGCTGCTCCTGTTCCCCCAGCACCCCCAGAGCCCCAAAGCCAAGGCAGGGTTGGGATGTGAGCGGATCCAGGTGCTGAACACCGTCCTGGCTGTGGAGGGAGCCCACGGAGCGTGGCCATTGCTGGAATGTTCTGCAGGGTGGATCAGAGGGAGCAGCTCTCGGTTTCTCCATCTCTCAGGAGCTCTGAGGGAGCACACGGAGCGTGGCCATTGCTGGAATGT